CAAGGTTTATAAAATTTGGTTTGAATACTTAGTTAGGAATGCACTGACAATTTCTCTGTCACATGTACATGAACAGGTTGTGAAGCTGTAGCCTTCACCTTGACTGAATGAAATTGACCTTAAAACTGTCTTGAACAATTGATGTATGAAATTTAGAAATGAAGTTTCAAGAAATATGGTTGAAAACTTAAGAAATAATTGCTTTCATTGACATTGATACAATCTTGTGTGCTATCCCTCTCATATATCACACAAGATTTAATATCAAATGTTGGACACAGTAAAATCGAGCGAAGTTAACAAATATCAAGTTACATATTATAACTTTTATTTTATTTTATTGATATTGATCATAAGCATTGTTAAAAGTACAATGTATACCAGGGATCTTACATTTCTTTTACTACTTAACATTTGCGTTGACTTTTAATTCATTGGACAAAAACTAAAAGGAAGCCATGACCAGTATTTCTATCTTTAAAAACATACTTTTAATTTTTTTTCCAATTTGCTCCCACCACCCATAGTGTTATATTGATCAAAACAAACGTTGTTTCCAACATTTGTGCCCTTAGTCAGTAGTGGGTGTTCAATCACATTCATCAGGGTTTCAGCATCAAGTAGGGGCTGTTCAATCACATTCATCAGGCTTTCAGCATCAATATTCACAGATTCAATCTGTTCCAAGTAAAGATCACTGACTTCTCCATTAAGGAAAAGTTTGCGAGGAAAGCATTTGAACTACATTTGAACTATTCGCTGATGGAAGGATCTGTGGACTCGGCTTTCATGTGTCTGAGAGAAAATGATTTAGTCAGAGGTTCCTCCTCTATAAAGTAACTGACAGATTTCAAAATGTCATGTCACTGTTGGTATAGTTCTTGCAGCCTTTTGAAAAAGTTCATGAAGTCCTCAAAGGTATGAGAGAGTTGGTACAGTTCCTATTTCTCATCCTCCTTTCTCCCATCAATAACCATCCCTGTCTGTTGTAATATTGATTGCTTTCCCCCCCTAAAATAGAACATAGTTACCATATAATTTCTGCACCAGCAATAATGTTTAGAGATGATATTCAAACAAATAGGAGGCATAGCAATATGAGCTTGTATAGTGAGAAATAAGGCATTAAAGCTGAGGAGTTCATTAAAATGTTTCAAAAACATTTCAATAAGTCAATCTCTTTGGTAGCAGAACTAAATATAAACAAAATGTACATTAAATTCAACTTATAACAGCACATCATATGGGGGCTTAAGACATCTAATTCCTTAGGTGGTAAAACATGTGTACATAAAAAGGTACCAGTAAAAACAAAACAAAATTAGTTTAAACACACGCACTTAGATATTCACGGTTTTCATTAATACAAAAGATGAAGCAGAACATCACTCTCCCCTGGTTGTTTCCATAAAGAAGAAATTAACCAGGAAACATGGAGATGTCCATTGCACTCCTTTATTTTGCTTACAATGTGCAAATGTGCCTACTATGTGCTAATAAGCTTTCCATGTTATGGTTTTGTTTTTTATGTGCTGTATGCAAATGTTCTAAATGTGCTTAAATTACCATGTGCTGATGTGCTTACCGTGTTCAATGTGCCTATTAAGTGCTTTCCAAGTGATAAACTCTTTTTCTGAGCTTACAGTATACTACATGTACATACATGTTTTTATTTTATTTTTCCATGTTGTAATATTTTGGTCTCTGTTATTATACTCATGTTTTGTCTTTGTAGCTTATGTTGTATGTTTTGCAAAATGGACGTAAAATATATATTTTTGTATCTTGTACGTGCTCAAGGATTTTATCTGTAGTTTTTGGGACTATATATAGAAAAACTTTATCCCAGTATGAGGAATTGTTTTACACATTTATCATAAAACAAGTTATGTTCAGATTTCAGACAGAAGATACTCTAAAATTGTACAACTCAGAAAAGGTTGAAAAATATTTATAGTTCATTTTTTTCTGCTTAGAAATATTTAATCTCTAAATTACAAATGATAACTGTTTTAATAGGTCTAGTTTCCGAATAGGAAACCAAACCCTGTCTGACCTATAAATTATCATTATATAAGGCCAATTAAAAGTTTAAAACAAATATTGAGTTTATGCTAACCCCACAGATACTGGACACACTAATAGTAATATGATGTGTATAAACTATGATATATTATACACACTATACTTATTGGTGTGTTCGACACCAGTGTGGTTAACCAGACTTATCTCAGATTTGTGTTCTACAATACCCTTAAGTTTTTATATGCACTGTTAAAGTCAGAACTCCTGCTCTATATTAGCGCAGTAAAGATATTTTTCAAATTAACAATAAAATGCCTAGCTAATACATACCTACCCTATTTTTTTCTGATAGTAGAAACACAAGTAATTTGTTTGGCCTAATGTTTCTGTCATTTCATAATATTTAGAACTACTATACTTGTTTAAGTTTCCAAAACATCAAGTAGTATAACAATTGAAACTTCAATGAAAGCCAACATCACAATGAATCTAATAATACAATGTTTATAACATG